TCTGTCTGTCTGTCTGTCTGTCTGTCTGTCTGTCTGTCTGTCTGTCTGTCTGTCTCTCTCTCTCTCTCTCTCTCTCTCTCTCTCTCTCTCTTCTCTCTCTCTCTCTCTCTCCTCCTCCTCCTCCCTCCTTCTCAGACAGTCTGTCTCACATTTTAAATGGTATCTATTTCTTAACGTGTCTGTATAATTAGAGTTTATTTTCTTTTTTTACCTGTAAGGCAGTGTCCAAAACGTGCACTTACGATATGAATCTGAGACGGTAAACGTTTCTTTATCAAGTTTATGAATCTGTACTGTGTCCCTTACATTATTTTTTTCACGGTCACTGGTCGGACATTCTGCCTAACCTGTAGCCCGTTGAAAATAACATTTTCGATTTTTCAAATATTAAAAACTGCGTCCTACCCTAATTTCTTTTTTTTTTTTTTATCAAATTCCGAACCAGCTTATCAAAATTAACAAATTGACTCGTGGGTGACTCTTCTACTCGCTTGGTTTTTGAAGATCACGAAAAGAAGTAGGCTAAGCCTATTTAACCATAGTTGCATCATGTATTGTTTACTGATAACGCTTAGAAGTTCCATAACCCCCCCCCCCCTCCCCCAACCCACCCCAAGTAAAGATTATCATTCGTTTCTTGCTCGATTGCTTGCGTGTTGCAGGAACAAGCGTTAAGCGTACGAATATTTGTCGTAGTGGCTAACCATCGCGCTGTCGACTCGCGGCTCAAAATAGATCCCACTTCATTGACCAACTGCTTGCTCCTCGCCACGTCCTGAGCGATTCGCGAAAACACGCCTGGTGACGAATAGCATTCGCTGAGCTCGTTCGTGGCTGTTGTGGTGGTACAAATAGGCGCACGCTTCCACTGAGTCTAGTTGTAACTTCCGTCGTCGTTGTCTTTTGCAAGAAGGAGGACGTGTCTTGTCTGCTATAGTTTGTTAGAGGGTTGTGAGCGTGGAAAAAACAAGCAGTCAGTTAACAATATGGCTTTGGTAGAACTTTTCGGGAATGAAGTGGTCGGCAAGAGCGGGAACGTGCAGACCTCTTCCTTGGAGAGCAAAGATGTTGTAGGTGAGTTCTGAGCTAGGTCTGTAAATTGCATGTTGTATATAATTTGTTGTTATCATTATCGTAGGTGAGTACTGAGCTTGGCCTATAAACTGTTGTATATTAATTGTTGTTATTATTTTATCGCAGGTGGGTACTGAGCTAGGCCTGTAAACTGTTGTATATTAATTGTTGTTATTATCGTACATGAGTACCGAGCTTGGCCTATAAACTTGTGTATACTTACTGTTGTTATTATCGTAGATGAGTACTAATTTCTTCAGTTTTTGTACATTGTTTTATTGGGATTTATCGTTCGTGGGTAATGAACCATTTTTTAGTGTAGAGCAAGCAGTATGTTAGTGTGACTTACTTATTGTAATTGAGTCCAGCGCTCGTCTGCGTACTAATCTACATTTTATTTCGTACCACAACTTTTAGTACTGCCGGGCTCCAGCCAAAGTGTATTGCAGTTAGAATCTAGATCTAATACAATTCACAAGAAAGGCTTTTTAGCTTTTTCTTTTAGTATATATATATATTATATTATT